AATGAATTACCAATCTTATGCAATCTGAAATTTGGAACGGCAAGTTTATTTTTGTTTCTTGTATTAAAGTTATGCAAATCGCTCTTTTTCGTGAATTGCTCTATATTTTTGCGGACATATAAAAGGTTTTCATAAATGAACTGTGAAGCTACTGTCAGTATGTTTATTTCCTTAAAAAAATCTTTCAAGGAAAATCGGGGTCCAAGGTTATAAATGGCCCGCACTGCTCTCTTCTGCAGAACAAACACAGTTTCAATGTCCGCGGCTGAGCCCCACAACAATATGCCGTATGACATTATACTATGAAAATAGCTAAAATATACTAGCCTTGCCGTTTCAATGTCAGTTAATTGCCTTATCTTTCTCACTGCAAAAGCAGCCGAACTGAGCCTTTTTGACAAAGTTTCAATATGAGGACCCCATTGAAGTTTAGCATCTAAAGTGATTCCCAGGAATGTTGTGGAATTTATGCTATTTAATGGTTCATTCTTCACCATTAATTGCGTGGAAACCTGCCTCACATTAGGTAAGGTAAATTTAATGCACTTAGTTTTGTTTGCATTTAACAATAAGTTGTTAACAGTGAACCAATGTAGAACCTGTGAGAGTGTGTTATTAATATCGTCAAAATTTACTTTACCTCTATCAACTTTGAAAATGAGAGATGTGTCATCAGCAAATAACACAATATCACACAGATCTTTTACAAAGTAAGGAAGGTCATTAATGTAAATAAGAAATAGCAAAGGTCCCAATATTGATCCCTGCGGCACACCCATAGTAAGAGGTGCTCCAGAAGACTCAGTTCCGTTAATACAAACTTTTTGTTTTCTGCCTGTGAGATACGAGTTCAGCAGATCAAGTGACTTATTCGAAACACCATAATGTCGCAATTTGTTTAGTAAGGTTTGGTGGTCTACACAATCAAACGCTTTTGAAAGATCACAGAAAATACCAACAGCGTCCTTTTTACTCTCCCAAGCATCAAAGACGTGTTTCAATAGTGCTACCCCAGCGTCAGTAGTACTTCTACCTTTCGTAAAACCAAATTGCTTATTGTGTAATAATTTGTTAAAAATGAAGTGAGATAGAAGTTGGTGGAAAATAATTTTCTCGAAAATTTTGCTAAGTACTGGTAGAATAGAAATCGGTCGAAAATTAGAGGGGTCACATTTGTCACCAGCCTTGAACAATGGAATTATTTTACTTAACTTCATTAAGCTAGGAAAGCAACCTTGATCAATACATGTATTAAAAATGAATGCAAGGTGAGGAGCTATGGTGTCAATAATTGTTCCAATTATACTGACGGAGATTCCCCACAGGTACTCAGTTTTTTTCATATTTAATTCTCTAAAGGTTTTAATTATTGCCATCACAAAATTGATAGGTAGTTATCGTTGCATTAATAAAGATAATTGACTCCAATGGATAGCACTTTTTCTTCAAACTTATAAATAAGATCTATAGGTAAATGTTTTAATAGTTCATTCATTTTTTTAGTTCATTCACAAATACAACGCCGTCCCTAAATCAAAGTTAGCTTTTTAAGACTTGCGTTTGTATCTAAGTAATAAAACGAGTGTAGGTACAAATGTGTCTTGTTTATTTTTGTGATATCTTTGAAACAAAGTGTAGGTCTATTCCATAGTCTAATACGATATTTCCCAGTCAATTCCCCAGTGCACGAAAAGATGAATAAAATCTTCAATACTAAATGGGAAATAGCTGGAACAACTGAAGTAAAGAAATACATTTAATGTAGAACCTCTCGGTTTAACCGCATGATTTGAAAAATAGTAGTAACAGGTTTTTGGAAAGCTTTTGTAAAATTAATAAAAGTTAGAAAGTAGAAGGATGTAACTAACCGATGTTAATAAGTGCGTCATAAATAACATACCTACTTATTTAAAACTATATTTTATAGATACAAAAAAATATTTTAATTTGATACTGACGATATTATCTTCCACAAGGGGGCGGCAGGTGCGTTAAATATTTTTTTATAATTCCAATTCAAACTAACTCTACAAACACCTTTACGCGAAGTAGGCGATGACTTATAATAAAATGTTTTTAGAATAAGATGAGGTGATGTGTAGATGGATGGATAGGTAATATCTGAACGTATAGTTATATTCTAATTTGTTATGTCCGATTATCATATACAAGAAACAAGATAAAAGGCTACAGAGGTGTATAAATAAACGTATTATGTTGAGTACCTGAATTATTCATTTATTTTCATGAATATTTTGCACTTAAACCAATTGCTCAAGTGCTCCAATAAATTTCCTTGTAATGTTGATGAGAATAATTCTTTTTTTTCAAACACCTTTCTTTATGAGTTATTATTTTACCTAAAAATAACATAATTTGTAGGTGTCATTTTTGAGTGACCGTCTTTAACATTGTTGAAAGTTTCAGATTCATATCTATACAATCTAAATTGATAAATAATAATAGCCAGGCAAGTATTTCCTTTTTTTTTAAAGTTAAAGTTATAGTTGCTAAGTTAACATAAAACTTTAATAAACAAGAATTAGATTAGTAATTCCAAAAAACCATTTGCAAAATTATTTATGCTCTATACAAATTGGAAGTTTTATTAGCAAACTAAAAATAAGAATTTTTAATAGACGCAAAAAAATAATCATATTTTTTTGCGTCAAATCTAGCCAACCACTTTTCCAATAAAAAAACTGTCAACGTAAAGATTACAGTACTATGACCAGTAAAATGGAACTGGTCTGAATGATCTTACAGTAATTCTGGAGGAAGTGAGCTGTGGAGATAAGACATTATAGTTTCTGGAGCCGTTTTATGCGGTGCAGCGGCTGATCGTACTCGCTGTATATTTTTGAATGACTGCACTCTGCGATTGTATACAGTATCTTTCATAAGGTTGTGACGCATTTGAAAAAAAATTAAGTTACTTTGGATTAATGGATTTAAAAAAGAAGGAGCTTCATAATTCGGTTTCCTATATTTTTGTAAATTATCATTAGATTCTTTTAAGGCTACATCCTCCGTGGTTGAGGATTCCGGGTGAAGCTCGCTTCCACCTTCGGCCTGATCGTCACTTACCATCAGGTGAGATACAGGCCAAAAGCTTCCTCGTAGTAAAAAAAAACATCCTCATACTGAACAGAAAATCAATTTAATTTTATATCAAATGCTAAGAATGTTTTATTTTATATCAAGCAACAATTTAATTTATATCAAGTACCAAATAGGTACTCAAAATCAAGTAGTTTAATGATTATTTTTTTATTCCTTTTACAATTTCAAAATTGCTACTAAACATTAATGCTCGAATAATGCTTGTGGCGTCTTTTTGGCACAAAAATATGCGTGTATAGTTTTAAGTCTCTTTGTTCTTTTTTTTTTGTCTTTTTGTGTCAAATAAAGTTTTTCTTATTTTATCTTAAAACGGACTATTTCCCATTTCAACTTAATCTTTCAACACTAGAGCTAAAATCTACAAAGCGGCAACCCTATTTGCATTGCTTTGCCTTGCCTCAATGCAAACTATTCTTGTGTCTAAATATTGAAGAATCTATATGAAAATGAAAAGTATATTTGTCAGAGAAAAGATATCCCAAAGATCAAAAGGTTTTGTTTATTTTGATATGCAGCTTGATTTCAATTTATATTAATCTAGCGAGTGACCCGGTAAAATTTTGAAAAGGAATATTTAAGTAATGTTATTTTAAAACTCAAAGCTCTTTCGTGAATTAAGTTTAAAGCATGAAATAATTGGATTTCCGCATTCCTTCAAATGGTACTTGTAGAGATTAGCCTCCTGTGGAGGTGGGTGACTTTCATTTAATACAAATAAAGCTTGAAATATTTGTTTTATGAATATTTTATTGTACAACACAATTTATGAATATTTTATTTATTTAAATAGTACTAATTTTCTTATATTCTTGTTTCTACAAAATGTTCTTTTAACTATGTTTCAGGCCGTTTAAAATCTGCCTTTAATTGATCTAACAGTGAAATTATAAATTAAATACTGATCATGTTGTTTATTCAAATCTAAAAGGAATAGCAACGATATTTGATTAAATTTAATTGATTTTACAATCAGAATTATTGTGAAGCTCTTGTTTTTCGTTTTGTTAAAACTTCAAGGAAGATATTGGCGGCAGAGTGTGCAACATTAGCGGAAAAACTTTATTTTCCTCAGAAATTAAAAAAAACAAATAAGTCAGTACAGCACAATGGTATTTAACTGATTTGGAAAAAGTTTAAAGTGAGTGGTGATTGGTTTAAAAAAGTTCACAAGGATAATATTCCTGTTCACTCAGGACACTTGCAAAATCTTATAAAAAATATCCAAAAATCGAACTTGCAGTTTTTTAATCGTGTAGGTATCATAAATTATTTGCCCTGCCGGAAATCACAACCGCGTGGACTTCCGTGTGCTATGTAGCATAATAATATGTGTAATAATAAAATTTAATTTCGTACACAGATTTACACGACAATGATATCAAAAGAGTAAGTTTTTACTTGTTTAAATAAATTGCTAATTTACGGGCGAGATTTCCGGGAAAGTCATAGTCTGTTGGGCTATAAAAAATAACTTTAACGCATTGTCATAGCCATAAATTTTAGTAATTATATGATATTTAATGGAAAATCATGAAAACTTTTAAATACTATTTTATTTACATCAAAATAGGTATACTCGTAGTTGAAAGAATTGTGGCTTATTATTTTATTTATTTTTAATTTCCCCGAAAAACAACAAAAAAACATTCATTTTTTAGTCCGGTAGTCATTTCAAAACTTTATAATATGCATTTATAACTTTTTCCGTAAAATTATATAAACTTGGGCTTTAACTTCTTCAGCCTTTTTAAAATTTAACTAAATGTAACATCTATAAAAAAAAACACTTCCAAAACTTTCCGAAACTCGACAACATCTTCTCAAACTCGAAAAACTGTTATAACTTTTATAAGTGAAATGAGTTCAAAGCTACTTACGTTGGGTCTTCGTGATACTTGATACTTTTAGCAGCCGCGGCACATACTCTGAGCTTTCTGGCTCGGTGTTAAATGCGCCAGGGCGGGCGGGCCGCGAGCTTATATGCGCGTAGAGCTTACAACGGCCAGAGCGGTGCGTGGGCTTCGTGACGCCATAAGGAGTACCCTAACTGATTTGTGTGGAGTAGATAAGTTTGGGACTTGAAGCTTGGGTATGTGGAGAAACAAAAGCTCAGTGAGTTTTGGAGCTTTTGAATTGAGTTTAGCAAAAACATGACGTCACCATTAGGATTTTTATAGAAATATTAAGCAACTAGGTTACATCACTTATTTTTATAAAAAGAATTAACTAATTTTAAAACTTTATGAATTTTAAAGACCAACACATAGTATTTAGCATTAATTAATTTAAGATGTAAAAATGTACTGCCGATTGCAAAAATGACGTCAAGCTATAAGACACTTTTCAGATAGATAAATTTTAATATCAAAATAATTTTTAGTCTGCATTCTGTACTCATTATAAATGTGGAAACTTTGCTGATTTCTGTCCTATTTTTTGTGTGAATCCGTGTATGAAAATTGTTTGTTTCCCAAAAATTGACAAAAAAGAAGATATTAATGGTAAGGTTGACTTCACATGTTTTTCATTATGCAGTCGTAACGTAATCTCCTAATGCCAAGGTTGCGCCCTCATATGACTACATTACATCCCACACGTAGAAAAATAATAACGCGCTAAAATCACAGTAAAAAGATTCTTAACAAAAAGGTTTCATGGCATTTCTATACAATCCTAACTCTACCATCCCGCCCAACTTTGGCGGACCACTCGCGGCAGAGATTGCGACTCGGGTGACAGAGACGGCTGCGAGTTCTCTATATCTGTCTCTCTCACACCCAAACTTGGTTAGGGCTGTCACGCAGATGTTAAAAGTTTGAAATGTTTATGAAAACAGTCCCATAATGTTCCTAACACATTGTCATGTCTGATATTAAAATACATATAATATTTTTAATTAAAGGTGACAAAAAAAGATAATCGTAAAGTTGTATGTACTTCACAATACGCCATAATATTTTATTGTATTTGAATGCACTGCCCATGATCTTCAGTGTACTTTCCTTGTTCTTATTTAGCATTAAATCTCTCCCTAAGTCGCTTAAAAACTCAGAGCTTTTCCTTTTCAATTCTTTATGACAATAAAGTAGGTATTATTTTTTTCCTTCTTATAGCACAGAACTTACTAATGCAATGTGTAAGCTCCTGTAATGTTTTTTCATCATAAAATAAAATTAAAATTTTTAGAAATATTTTTGATTCGAATGAAAAATGTATACTTACCCAATTAAACCCATTTTTGTGGTATACTGCCATATTAGTATTACATTTCAATTAAGTAATACGTACTGATCATCAAGGTAAATACAGTTAAAAATTGAATGTCAAGTTATAGGCTGTATATTTTCGACTGTCATTTTTATAATTTTTAAACAGCCTTGCTCAAAAATTATTAAAAAAATTCCGACAATGGGCAGCACAGAGCCGCGGCGTTATGGGAATCCTTTGTTGAGGGCTTTGGCCATCAGTGGACATCATTTGGCTGAAACAAAGTCGACACAATGTATTCTACAATCGATAAATGCCATTTAATTTTAGGTAAATTAATGCCCGTATTCACAAACGATGATTGCTAAGTGAAGCAGAAAATCAAACTCACAGGGTTGAATAAATAGAGTTCTGTGATTGGTTCGGTGTCAACTTGTGCGTCAACGCGCACTGTGAGACCTCATAGTAATGTTTGTGAATACGGGCGTAAGCCCGGTGTTGTCAGCCCTACATCAGTGGCTCTCAATCAAATAATTGAAGGTGCAATCAGTTGATTGTGTGTTTTCAGTAGTTTATTGCGAGGAAGCCCTCAAAGCCTTTTAATTACTGCTCATACGCACACGCATCGGCTTATCACGCGGCTCTACCTGTATCTGTACAAGACAATATGTTAATAATAGTCACAATAAACATGAATAGGTACCTAAATGCAGTACTTACCTAAGTTTAGTACGTCCTTAACATAAATCCAATGAAAGAAGGTACTTATGTACTAATTTACAAAAAAAGGAGAATTTCAATATGAAACCTAAATAATAAGGTACCTACCTAGTTCAAATTCAGTATAGCACATCCCACACATTTTTCACACCTTTCGTTCTTTTCAGTTATTGTATTGTACTTTACGAAGATTAGTCAAACTGTCTAAGGTATTTAAGAACCTTTGAGGAAGTTTTGTTATTTTAGGGTATTAGGGGAGAGTGGGGTAAGACGGGGTCCTTAACGTTTGATGGTAAATAAAATTGACCGTAAAGAGTTTTATTAATTTGTTTTATTCTAATAATCTTCTTCGATAATCAGTCTTCATTGTTAATGTGTAATTTGGCAGTCTAATCAACATAATAAAATTTAAAAAAACAAAAAGTAGAAATACACCCTTATCCCCATCATGCCCCACCCCTAGGGTAAGATGGGGTACCCCCGTGGGTAAGATGGGGTACCAATAAGAGAGCAAGATGGGGTATGGCAGCAAACGACTATTTACTGTTCACAATGTTCACAAGTGGTATCTGCATCTTCGTCATCTAAACCTGCACAGCTGCAGTAAGCCCATTTGCCGCATGCTGAACAAGCAACCCAGCCTTCATTTGAGTCCAAATATAGGCCTTTACAATACAAACAAGGTGTATTTTCAGTATTGCTGTCACTATTCTCGTGTAATGATCTATTCTTAGCCCCTTTTTTCTTCTTTGTTACTCTTTTCTCCTTAGTTGCAGGTTTTTTTTGAGATTTTTTAAGTTCCCTCAACTTTTTTTTTCGCTGTTTATCCTCTTCCGCTTCTTTTTATTCTTAATCTTTTTTTTTATAATTTCTCACCATTCTAGAATAAAATAAATAGTAAAATTAGACATTTCTATGTCGCTTGCCTTCATACCCCATCTTGCCCCTTAACACCTACCCCAACATGCCCCCGTATGCCAAATAAAATTTGAAAAATAACTGAATAAAACCAGTACGCAGCAATGAGGAAAACGAGTTCTTACCTGTTAGTGTTGTTATTTTCACATTTGATAACATTTAAATCAATTGCGAGGTGTTATTATTTACGGAAAATACACGCCCAGTATAATATAGAAAAATCACTAGCTATTTAGCAAAAAACAGTTTTTTCCAGAAAACAAATCAAATGCGTGGTGTCGTTGTCCGCTCACTTCGATAACTGATAGCTGTAATGGCGGTGCGGCGTCAGGTGCTAAAACGATCTTGATTGGCTAATTCGTTCGCACTCAGGATCGGTCGCCCCGTCTTGCCCCCCACCCCGTCTTACCCCACTCTCCCCTAATCCATCGTAATAATTTACCATGTTAATGGTGTGTACACAATAATATGATAATAATACACACGTGTCTTTATAATAATACACATCACTTTGCTATTACAGCCTGTTTACCCTCAAGTCAAAAATAATATTGTTCAGGTTCCAATATTAAAACAAACTTTTCTCAGAAGATTTCTAATTATATGACATGTAACAGGAAATCTAAATATAAATATCTCAAAGGTGACTGACTTACTGACTGACTGACTGACATAGTGATCTATCAACGCACAGCCCAAACCACTGGACGGATCGGGCTGATTTGGCATGCAGGTAGATGTTATGACGTAGGCATCCGCTATGAAAGGATTTTACGAAACTCCACCCCTGAGGGGGTAAAACGTACGTAAAAAATGTTATTGTATTATAAATAATGTGACTTAAATTACGTCACAGAGCTACTTATACTGTCGAATGCTAAGTGCACCCACTCTACCACTAGGCGCTACCGCGGTCTAGGAACAGACAGCGCCATCTCTCGGCAATAAGGTAAAGTGATTCTCATCTGGTCATAAATAAGGATTTCGTCAAATTATCCTTACAAATTAACTAACAACTGTTCCAAAATTGAGTAGAGGACGGCTCATTTATCAATCTGAGTTAGCTGTATGGACGTAGCCATGGGCTCAGGGTATAATAACCCTCTTAGTAATAAAAGTTACAAACTTGTTGAACACCGTTTTAAAATAATATTTCCATACTAAACGTCACTTCAAAAGTCAAAACACTGTTCAACGAGTGTGTAAGTTTTATTGGTAAGGGGGTGTGTAATTAGGAAACTATACCCGCGGTCTTAACCGGGTAATTTTTTTCAAAAAAAAAAGTTTACTCCCTAGTACACTAGTATCTGACATGACCGATTGTTTTTGTGTCGTCTGTCGAGAGTGAACTTTCTTACGTATTTATGTAAGTATTGAAGCTAAGTACCTATAGAAAAAATATTTTTTTAGGTTTGGTTAGGTACCTTAAAGATCAGAGCCAGGGTGGGGCGCTTGCCCCACTCTGCCCCATCCTGCCCCACCACTACAATCTGTAGTCAGATTCAACATTCATTAGTAAATCTTCGTGATAACCCTTAATTATAGTTATTAAGTATACTAATTTAATTCTCTTTAAATCCAGATTATTATCTCAGCCCGGTCAGTGCCACCCGCACACTTCCAACACAATTCAATGAAACGTAGTAAACAGGAGTAATTTTATTAAGACCAGCTCAGAACTAGCGTGACTATAACGCGACGTGAGTGTGACATACATTCCAATATCTAAGGGATGTGGCACCACTAGTCTTGAGAAACTTTTGAAGTTGTCAAAGCACTGTAGAGTTTACAGGACGTCTTTTGTAGGTTGTATTGTTCTAAGTCAACCGATGAAATTACCATTGATTTCAAATCAAATTACAACCGAATAATTATACCTAACATTGCAATTAAACTAAAATAAGTCAGCATGAACAATACACAGTACAAAAATGTGTAAGTATGTATCTTTTATGAGTTAATCAATAATAGGTTATTTGCCAGCTGTGAAACTTTTATTAGTTACCATTTGCACAAATTACAAGAAAAGCAATGAAAACGAAAATTTTGGCTGGACTGGACCAACTTAACTATTTCTATTAGGTGTCCATTACAAACTAATTAGTATCATACTAATCGTAATGGACTTAATAATTTCATTTTCATGGAGCAATTCTCTGACTTGTACAGTAGTGTCTTCCCAAAAGGGCAACTACGCCAATTACATAGTTGCGAGACTAGAGAAATGGAATAACTTATTTTACCATTATCGTTTAAGTAGATAATTTTAAATGAATATTGTGCTAGCCAAAGCTAGGTTAATACCTTCTTGCTTTAGACATCTTCATTTCGGCTAATTGTAGTCCACTGCTGGACATGCCTGTCCAAGATGCCCCAAAAAGCTGTTATTTCAGTTTCTACTGCTATTTTCATACAGCCAGCTACTTACCTGCTATATTCATGACGTCATCAGACTCTAGAAATAAATCACAGAGTTTTGTTTTGAACCATTTGAGAACTTATTATGTCATACTGGTTATTTCCTGATAATGTTACCACTTTAGTCAAGTTAATGCAGTATTTCCTTACAGTTTTAGGATATGTAATAACATACCTACTCGTACATCTGTATTTTGGCGCAATGCCGAATCACAGTTTAAAATGTTACAAAATAAGATACAAAGATACAAAATGCTTCACATTTTGCTGAATTAGCGCCCTTTAAGACATAATTTGGAATGTTATCGGCCATTGCGTTGAACATTCACTCTAACGGCTGAATTTCCGAATTCATTTCTGTATCTAAAAGTGTCTCGGGAACTTTCGTCGAACAATTATCATGCATTACGCGGGGGAGCCCTGTAAATATTAGCACCGACACCAAATGCTTTGTGGATGTTGAAGTTTGTGCTGAATTTGTCCGCTACATGATTTCCATTTTCCATTTTCTGTTCCATTACAGTCCCAGGTGACTTTGCGCTAGTTTTACGCTTAAGCAAAGTTTATAATTATCAATGTGGGCAGACATGCAATGGTAACACAAATCATTTAGCTCTTTGCCGACTAAGTGGGTGGATACAAGATAAAAAAGAACTAAATAAAAAAGTCATAAACATTTGGAAATCAAGAAAGGGACAGAAATCCATTAACTTTTACTCGCACTTGATTATTGCATAAATATTTACGTCAATGTACCCTTTAGAAATGGAATTTGTCCTTTAAAAGGAAACTAATGGAAATTCAAGGAAGGAGCAAGAAAAGAAAGCCTTTACACTTTTCGTGTTTTAAGATTTAATATTTCATCTGGTAGATAAAAACTACTGGGTATTTTTGACTTATTCATAACCTAAATCTAGGACAGCAACGATCAAAATATTTTGACGCCAAAAATGGTCAAAGTTCTCGGTCTTATTGTACCTGCCTATAACTATCATAATCATCACTATTCAATGAAGTCTCCGAGTTCCTCCCAGCATTGCTCCTCCGGGCTTTGACCATCTCCAACAGATCGACCTTCTGCATAGTCACTCTAACCAGGTCTTTCAAGATCTTCCTAATATCTGCGTCCTGTGATATCAGGCTTTTGATCTTCTCTTTCGTGAACCCTAGACTCTTTCTTGCTCCGAAGGGCAGTTGCAAGCCCATTTCTTCCATCGTGGGTTTGATCTTCTTCTTTCTACCCCTCATTATTTGTGGTTGGGCTGGGAGTGAGGACTGTCTGGAGATGGGTTGTATCGGCTGCAAATTCTGCTGTAGTGGCTCCATCTGGCGACTGAGATACGACTGCTGGCTGCCGCAGTCGTCTCCACAGCTCATGCTGCAGCACATCTTCGGGAACGGACATGGGTCTGGCTTCCTGACTGGTGTCGGCTGTATTTCTGATCTCAGGTTTGGCGCTGGAGAGGATTCCTTTGGTTTGTGGTTGCAGTCTTTATAGTACAGAAGGTTTTCGATGCTCTCATCTGAGTCTGAATCGTGTTTTCTCGAGGAAACTAGCACGGTGTGTAGGTTGACTGCTACCTGGAAACAAAGTTAATGATTCAAATATTGCTCGAAGAGGTAAGGTACCCAGCTCCTCTGTGGTTGAGGATTTTGAGTGAAGCTCGCTTCCACCTCCAGCCTGATCATCACTTTCCATCAGGTGAGATGCAGGCTAAGGGCTTCTTCATTGTGAACAAAAGAAAGTTTTATGATTTCGATATTAAGGACCAAGCTAACAAAATACTTACCAATCCTGTGTCCAATCTGGCTCTACCTTACCGTCTAGATCTCTCCCGGGATATTAAAAACAAACATTTGAACATGTCACTCACCAGAAGCAAGAGTCTCATTATTTCCCGGCCCATGCGCCGCTCGTAAAAACGCGTGCGTTATCGCGCTCGCGCTAGGAAGTAGTCGCCAAACATGTTTAAAAATAGGTCCCAAACAATAGCACCTATCACGGTGTGGGGTAGGGCCATAGTAGAAGCGAGCAAATGGTACACTACCAGTTAAAAAAAATTACACTTTGGAAAAATAACTAATAAAGACTTTTGTGTTTTAGATAAACATATTTCCTTTAATCAAGCCATAAGCGTAATGGTGAGTAAAACTTCATAACCAAACTCCATCATCGGGTCATTTACTGCAAGAACATGACCTTCTCTAATTTAAGAGAGAAATTTGGCCTACAATCCCGTTGCTAACCAGACGGGCATGGAAAGCCTGCTGTTCGTGAATTCGTCCTTTAGTCATCATCATTCATGTGAGCAGTAGGAGTGACCATTCCACTTTGCCGAAATCACACGTCAAACCAAAATTTAACATTATGAATACATGAGACAAGTGATTTTCCGCGATTTTCACGTCCATCCCATAGTAAGAGTCACTCTTATTAACACTTACTTAATGAATTTGAAATTGAAATCCTGAATTTACCTGAGTAAATAAAAAACAATAATACACTGCTTTGCAGCGCTCCAAAATAGAGGAGGTGTATGTAATAAACTAGATAGTAACAACACTTCATAAAGCTCGTATCAGTGTAAACACTTGGGATTTAATCATTTACTGATAACTAGCTTATTTAAACGTAAGCCTTTATTAGCCTGTTCTATGAAGTACATTTCACTTGTTTATTTATAGTTACAACATGTTAATACACTAGATACATAGAGGGAAGTAAATAAATTGGGTGAAAATCCCCTACTTGTACGGGTATGTACTTATTACACTTGGCCCCAGTGAGATTCGAACTAGCGTACCGGACGAACCCTAACTAGAGTAGCTTTGTGCGTGAGCTAGTCGTTGTCGTCGTGCTGGACAAAGGCCTCGTGACCTAGTACCAGTGCCTAAAAATACGAAGTTGTAATTTTATATAAAAGCTAGGTACTCGTACTTTATCACTGTAAAAATCTGAACATCTTCATTATCAAACGGTTAGAGTAGGACTCTGTAAAAAAATAATTTCATTTACTTTTTAATAATTGCCTACTTTCAAAACTAATTTCAAGTCGAAATTTCTTTATTTGCTTAATTCCAGACAGTTGCCTTGATAGTAGGTACATAAAATGTTCCAGTTTTATTCATGTTTTAATTTGTACAAGCCATAAAAAATTTTTCATTACCCTATTTGCGTTCTTTTCAACCCGACTGAAATCAATTGAAACCAAAACATTGTTGTTACAATCATGCATTATTTCAATTTGTTTCTAATTCTAAGCATTGAATGAGTGAACCCTTCCAATTCGAACATTCAACCGCCTACACAGTAATAATCTAAATGCGATCCATATTTAATACTTAGGAATAGAAATTGTAAATATGTAACACCCACGGGAAAAGCTTATTTGAGCATTAAAGCCATTGTTGAATACTGAATGGCTTTCTTTAGATTTATTAACTTTATTAGTAAAAAGGATTTATTTATAATCTTAGTGTAGAACTTGTCTATGTAGAATAATTAATTTAACTAGTGGGCTAATCCAGAGTTAGGTACTCGTTTGACTCTACATTTAGATAAAACGAAGTAATAATTCCTCTCTGACTTATTATCTGTTATATTATACCTATGTAATTTATTTACCTATCTTTAGAACTGGCATCACATTAATACAGTAAAATGATAAATCACGATTAAGTCTATAAAAAAAGTTGACTCGATCAAAATGTACCTATGTACGAGTATATCAGTACCTCTAGTAGGAAAAACTTTCGAGTTCGTTTCGTTGCGTATTCAAAGTGTCATCGAAAAATTTTGTATGAAAAATTAAACAGCGCCCCCTATATTATAGCCGCCCTAGGGGGCGCTGTTTAATTTTTCATACAAAATTTTTCGATGACACTTTGAATACGCAACGAAACGAACTCGAAAGTTTTTCCTACTAGAGGTACTGGAGTCTACGCTTTTGTTTTCGTCGATCATACGTAATAATCAATGGATTGCACCGTTGCGTTTTTGGTATTATTAACGAGAGCATTGTAACACTAATCCAAAATGGTTAAAAGAAAAGAAATAAATTCACCCTAAACGAATAATTTACATTGTATACTAAAGTAGCTACTGAATTCGTTTTGCCACAACATGCTCCAATTTACAATTAGACGCAATACATCAAGCATTTGATAAAATTAACATCGGCACATCACCACGTCAGTATTTGACGCGTTTTTCATTTTCAGAAACCATTCGCTGGGTGCTTCACACTCGCACTTTGTGCGGCACAAAACGTTTTTATCGATATTTATTTTTTATGCAAGACAAGGCAGGTATTTGACCGCAATCGCACCTATTGAATTACCTAAATGAACGGACCTTGGGGACCGAATGCTAAATTATTGTTTCGGACCATTTCCCCTAAATTAATTAAAATTTCGGAAAATCTAAATGCTGGCTCTTTCCTTGCACAAAGGCTTAGTATTGCCATTCAGCGAGGAAATGCAGCCAGCATCCTCGCCTCTTTGCCTCACGGACACACTTTTATTTTTGAGTAAAATAAGTTTATATTTTTATTTTGTGTAGAGTTAAGTTTGCCTTAGTTAAAAAAAAAATAATCTGTTTATCTATATATATAAAAATGAAACCCGTTTCGCGTTGTCACGGCATCACGTGTGAACGGCTGAACCGATTTCGATAATTCTTTTTTTTAAATGTTTGTGGAAGTCCAAGGATGGTTCTTACGGAAAAAAATATTAAGAAAATCTCTACGCTAAGGCGGTACGAAGTTCGCCGGGTCAGCTAGTTGTAAATAAAAGCGTACAATGAACGTAATTAAACTAATAGGCACCATTATTTGTGTTAAGATTTTCATTCCTAAGAGTACTTGTACTTTGATTTCAGCCAGTCTTTAAGCCTAGGCGCAGACCACCGATTTTTAGTTGGCCGATAGTTGGGCCCGATTTTAATTTGTATGAAGAATCGGCCAAATCAAATCGGTGTAATATGCACACTTCCATACATGCCCAATTGCCCATACTGATCAATTACCCGATTAAACTATCGGCCGACGAAATATCGATGGTTTGCACCTAGGCTTAAAATAACTTTGCAGATTTTGGGTTTCCGATATCTACAGAAATGTCGACCCTTCGACAACACTAATATCAGACATCGTGCTTTACCTGAGTAATTTGATGGTTCGGAGAATACATTTTCGGTAAAACATTATTGTTGCAAATACCTGCAAACATGTGTAACAATAACTTTTACCCCCTTATTAATAAAATTGCACCTTAGTTGAACTCTGGCTTTTTGTCATTTAGTATGGAAATGTCATTCTAATCCAAGGTTATCTATATCTAATCCTAGTGTAACTTTTTATTAATAAGAGAGTTAAATTGTAACTCACTCACCAGGTTTCTTAAGTGATTACTTCTCTTAAATATTGTGTTATAAATAACGCAATAAATTGCGTTTTTATCGCTGAAAGCGTTGCAGTGTGAAATGTATTCCCTGGCCTTTATTTAACATAAAGTTTATTTAAAACCAAAGCTTTGAAATGAAACGTCAAACAAAATGCAACGATAATGCTCATAATTTTAACCAAAGACCTCTATGTATACTACTAGACAGGTTTTGCGGCACTGAGAAATTGCTCAGCAAGTTATGGACAAAAATAACCACAACTCATTGGCCATACAAGCGAGTAGACAGCATCATCAAACTTACTTTCTTATGTCTCTACTCTATTTTCTTATTAGGTCTATTCTTGCTTTCGCCCTGCAAGCAAGAATGTTGAGGCCACCATTTTTATTATAGACCACTCTAGTAGTATTCATAGAAGTCTTTGTTTTAACCCAATGAAACCATCTTTAGAAATGACAATTTATTACAAATTGTTTATTTGTTTCCTTGCCATTTGTTGCTTAGCCATCTTCCTCGCGTAGTTCACCCTTTTGAGCTTATCCATATAGTAATCCAGATTCGGTAGAACTGCAGAGTACTTCTTGGCTTTCCTTTCCTTGTGGTCCTGGCAGTACTGATACCACCAGGGTAGGACTAAGTAGAGCCGGCCTGGGTCTAGATTCAGTTGGGCACAGAGTTCGCTGTTCGGGATCCTGAATTTGGGGACGTCTCGGGATCTCAAATTGGGGGGGAGGCGAAGATCTGCTAAGTTTCGGCCTTCTCTAGCTGGGGTCAGGGAGCGCCTCATCGAGCCGTAGGTTGGTAAACTCGTCACCAGAACGATAGATAGAACCTGAAATTAATACATTGAGTTAATGGGAATTCTGACATAAATAGGACACAATGAAATAGAGCTTAAATTATTGCAAAATTATACATATTACTATTCCTCAAATCAAAATAATTCTTACGAACAAAAACTTCATATCTTCAAACTGAGAATGCAAAGTAACACTAATAGCTAGTATTTGATAAGAATGTTTAATGTCCCAGAAATATAAAGTGCAAATTAATATTTTTTATGGTTATAACAATTTATAGCTTCTAATAATTGAAACAATACAAATGCTTACACCTATAATTATTATGCATTCGCATTATTTTTGTTTTACATTTTTTCACAGTGGCATTTTATTACTTCTACTACTTTTACGCCAAAATGAGCAAACTGTTTTTTTTTGTTTACAAAATTCTCTTGCTTGACATCGAAATCGAGTTATCTACATTGTAGTTGTACCCATACAGTGCCGGACAATGTAACTGTCATTTAACCAACAATGTAAACAACGATAGCTCTACCAATGTGGCCACTGCATCGCTTACTTTTTACAACCAAATTGCTTTAGTTAAATTAGTCAACTTTCCGGGCCCCAGGCGTTACACTTGGCTTGAAAAAGTGTCGTCCCTTATTTAACATGTCTAGACATTTTTTACTTAAGGAAAGCACTTAGCAGTAATTTCCGTTAAATTAACCTTAATAAGACACGCCTTCGAATGACGGTTTTGAAGCAAATCAAAAAAACCTTGTAAGAACCATTCGCTTAGACATTTTATCCCTCGTTTTTGCATTCTCATTCTAATGCAATTTTTTTGTAATTGAAACATGAAATTATGCGCCATATTCGACGAATAGTAATTCTATTTCAATTCAATATTATCAGTTTACCAATTTTTAGGTACCTAAGTATAAAACATTTTGAGTTATGAGATTTTAAAGAACTTTCTCTACTGAAAAACAGGCACTAAATTCCATTTTCATTAAAAAAAAACAATTCGTTTTCATTCTCTACTGGAAAACGCTTTTGCATTGTAGTTGTAGTGGGTTATTTTTTTGCTCGCAAGTGTTACTATCTAGGCTAGGAAATAACTTACTTGCGGTTCGCTGACGCCCCTTTACCCGACTGCGCATCAATGTGGGTTATGTCTTTTGTTCTCATTAGCATCCATTATTATAATGAGAGACCATTGATACAGCTCTATGACTCACTCTGAATAAATAGTCGCATTGTTGTAAAGCCTAGGAAAGCGTGAAGCACTGGTTGCACGAGATCTGGACTTTTTGTGTCGGATATTGGATTAAAAATATGCAAAATTCCAGAAAACAAAGTTTATCTTATTTAAAAAAAATACCAAAAGTCGATCTAGTGTACGTGCTAGCCCCTGAAAAAGTACCTACTCTACAGATTTTTATTTTTTTATGAAAGGGACTGAAATCTCTTCTACGATCTTAGAAAGAAAGAAATGTTTATTTGGCACCAAATCATGTGATACTCATTTAATATCTCAATAATTTATCTGTGGAATATGATAAGGCTATTACTGTTTTTATTTTTTAACTTCACATGTGCTTTTCTTTCCTTAAAAAAACAACAGATATAACTTACACCTAACTCTAAAACTTAATAATAAAAGCTGTTGGCACCGAATTGGTTTCTACTCAATAAAGGCACAATTTAAGCACAATGTAACTTAAAATAGATCCTTTATTGTCAACCAAAAACATAAACTGGATAGTAATAATAGTACAAAGGATAAATGAGCGGGTATGCGTACACGGGTGGTGGTACACAGCAAGGTTTTTCGGTTTTCTCTTCGCTACTGCTGCTGTCTTTCTTAGTTGTCTTGTCATCATCTGTATCTGACTCACCAAAGGCTTTCCAGCACAATATCATCAATAGCAAACACCGTGTTACATCTGGAAATTACAAAATGTCTATGAAAAGCATACATTTATATTATTAGATTTTTTTGCCACCTATAAACAAAATTCGTAAAATACCACATTATTTAGCTTGATTGGTTATATGCCATTGTCTGCACAATGAACATAATGTTTATAAATAAAAAAAATATTTAGGTATTTACTTTTTAAACCCATTTTCCCCAGATTTTTGATGTATTTAATGTTATTGGACTCAATGCATTATTACAATAAAACACTTAAATAAAATAGCCACGTAAATATCGTCTGTTCAACAGAATAATAACATTACATTTTTACGTTCTTATCAAATTTCTTGGGCGTCCATTAAACAATAAATTACCTGTTGAGTAATGGGCTTTTAACATCAATTCATTACCAATACTAAGCCCCTATTTTCCTAGCGTTAAATGAAAAAGAAATTGATTTTCCGATCAATCTTTGAGTGAAAATACTTAGGTACCTATTTTAATTAAGTCAGTAAATATTTGCATCATCGTACGGGACTATTCCCACCTCTCTTTCCCACCGCTACAACTCCTGTGTTGCCAGTATCTACAGCTTGACCGCCAATAAAAACCCAATCAGTGAAGGTCAAGTTTGTCCCGGGAGAAAGTTAGGCTGTCATTGAACCTGCAACGAAATTCATCAGAAGAACATAGGAGGAGCTGGAAGTTAAGGTTGCATCATGATACTTATAATTTTTTAAATTATATGTATAGAACTCGGCGCAGTGCGAAAATCATGGTTCAATAAAAATAACACTTTCGTGGCACACTGTGCCTTCGCAATAGGTTATTATAGGCACCTACATTGTAGGTACCAAACGTGGAACTATTAGTTAATTAACTTTTAAATGAATTAATTTGTACATTTTGTAATGTATTGTATCAAATAAACCTTTATTCATTTGAAAAGCTGCGTAGGTAGAGTATGACTAGTCTTGCCATTTCTTAACAAAAACCAAGAACCGAACGATGAATGAGTGAATGAAAGTTAAATCCAATTTTAAATTATAACTTTATTTTTTTAGCAATTCATTAAGTAACATGTAAAGTGATATTTATCATAATGGATTAATAAAAATACATTATTATTCATACTAAGATATAGAGCATAATGTTAAATTAAAATTCACACTTGATTATTAAAATTTGCATAGACTCCTTACATCATAACTCAACGACTTACTTTCGGCATCTACTTATCATGGAAAATAATATTCCATGATAGGTAGATGCATACACTTGATTTTTTTCGAAAGAATGTAACATTTGCTGAATAAAAACTACCTTACCACTGACTTCCCTAACAACCGATCTCATAAACAGCTATCAATACGTTCTCCTACGTCACGTCATATTGCTTCATAAATACAGAATCATATGATTTTGTATTAACCCAAAGAATAATCAGAATACCAATCGTCATTCTGCGCATTCATAATGGCAGTCCTATTAAAGAGGTTACAACACATTTGTAATGCATAAACCATGATATTTCCGCGAAATTAATGCATACAGAGCAGAAAATTGCTCACGATCATTGATATTACTCTCGTAAGGCTGTACGGGCGGTCGATCTTTGCTTCGAAAAAAAATACGATCATTGTTGGCACGACGCGCATGCTCCGCGCGCGTCTTCCCGCGCTTTTTGGCGCCATTAAATTAAAAAAGTTTGCGTAACTTTTTAACGATAAAAAGTATCACCAAAAAGTTTCGTAGCTGAATTTTAATTATGACAAAATAAAGTGACGGTTGAGTACTTGGTGGATAAATGGTTTTGCCTAATGATGGGTGACAGTGATAGTGTAAGTGCAGTCAGGAGTCGCAGGACATTGAGCCTGGTTTACGGCGTGTATGCGGGCCTGATTGCGTGTTTTGTGCCATTAGTTATATGTAATCCAGGTAACGACGTTTTTATTACAAAATAGATAAGTTTTGTTTTGTACTTTTTTCTATAGGGAGAATGATCTCTTTTTTCTGCTTGTTATACTGGGTGGCGCAAAAGTAAAGACCCTATTTGGTTCAGCTATAACACTTTTTCTAAATTAGAAAACTNACTGGGTGGCGCAAAAGTAAAGACCCTATTTGGTTCAGCTATAACATTTTTTCTAAATTAGAAAACTAGATTTAGGTTTTTTTAAATGTATATTTGTGCCATTAAATTTCGTACCATTAGGATTTAAAGATGATGTCTTTTAAATGGTGACCTCCAGAGTTGATACACATTTGAGCCCTATTTATGACATTTTGCATAACTTGCCGTAACACTTCCTGCGATATGTTCGTTATTTCTTGACGAATGTTTTCTTTTAGAGCTGCGAGAGTCTGTGGCTTGTTCACATACACCCGAGATTTCAAAAAACCCCAAAGAAAGAAGTCTGGGCTGGTCAGATCGGGTGATCTTGCAGGCCAAGGCAAATCGCCAAAACGAGAGATAACTCGACCTGGAAAAGCGTCCGTAAGAACATTGACACAATTATTCCACGTTCTTGGGGAGTAAAACGGTCCATGTTTATTTTCAGTGTATTTTACATTTGTTCACTACACAATTTTCAACAAAAAAATGACAGAAAATGTCATATAAAAAAAAAAAGTATTTTCTTTAGTGCCAGTACTTTTGCGCCACCCAGTATAATCTACACTAATATTATAAAGAGGAAAACTTTGTTTGTTTGTTTGGTTGTAATGAATAGGCTCAAAAACTACCGGACCGTTTTTAAAAATTCTTTTACCATTCGGAAGCTACATTATCCACGAGTAACATAGGCTAAATTTTATTTTGGAAAAAAATAGGGTTCCGTAAAATATGTAGATAATGTAGTTCACGCGCGAGAAGCCGCGGGTAGAAAGCTAGTGTATAATAATGAAAGTCAAACGACCAGCTAATTTCCCCGATTTGCATTAATTTGTTGAATTTTTAACCGACTTCAAAAAAGGAGGAGGTTCTCAATTCGAGACATTCGAGTGTTAAGTTTTTTGTTACTAACAATGATAATACCTATTTTACCATATAATAGTCCCCATTGTAATATCTAGCTAGTTGCACTAAAAGGTTTACAAGTCTGTTGTACCTTCCGTACCTTCATAAAAAGTTTGTTCTTTCAGTAAGTTTTTTTGCATACGTGCAATATTACCTAGCCATCTCTACATTTTCATTGTGCTCGTTTCTAGTCTACCTAGAAACCAAAATATCTATAATTTTAGTAAGGCGTGGGAAAATTTATCATTGAGACGGAGTGTAAAAGGAATCTGCTTGGGCCCGCAACGGAACGCTGTGCCCAATAATCAGACTATCGAATGCACAATGCATTTCCGAGGCGATCATTCGATTGTCTTTGTTTCTGTTGGCTATGTAACTATTAAGTAATCTCTAATAATGTTACTTTTAGCATTTTTAATTTGAGTAAAGTAAAATTAGAAAAATCGATTACTCACCTCAGCTAGGAGTTGAACTCACTACTCTCATTTGCCTATTTGCCTGAGAGCTCTGTCCACTAAGCTACGAAGAATAAACCTGGTTCTGATCTATTTTTATAAGTAGGCATTCATGAAACTTAATATTATTAACAAACTAAAAAAGTATTATTTTATAATTCCCCTTATCATAGTGGACGGCCTACTATACAGGTCCGTATCCTGAATCCGTATCGTAGTATGAATCCTCGAATTAACAAAACCTTCTGTGAGGTCACCTTCGTAATGAGACCTCATAATAATGTTTGTGAATACGGGCGATAGTTGGCATAATTTGTTCCCTTCCATTACAATATTATTCAATGAAACAAATGTGTAACTTCCTATCAATAAAATAAGACAAATGGGTATCAATAATGACACGTTCTCAACATAGAGAATGCAGAATTTCCATCACTTTATGCAAATGGCCATAAGTGTTATAATAACCCATATATGTATGCACTGCGCATTATTCACGGCCTTATTGACCCTGTTCTATCTCAGTAAGTGGTTCCTGGTCCTATGTTTGCATTTTAAAAACAAGCATAAATACTACTTTATAGTTAATAGTTTTTATGGTCATCAATGTCTTTCTGGTACATGCCATAAAACTAGCTGTGCCCGTGACTTCATTTTCATTAACTTTAACCTTTCCTGAAAAAGTCGCAGGATAAAAATACACCCTTGATTTTAAGCCTAGCCCCCCAGACCACAGACTTTTAATTGGCTGATAGTTGTGCCCGATTCTAATTTGTATGAATATAATGTGTGTAAAGTATGGAGCCTACAAGTTTGCTCGTAGGTATACATTGGCGAAAAGCTACCAGCACTCTCTAAATATGTACATAAATTTTGTCTGCACATTTAAAATACTTACCTTGCAAAAACCGAACTCTGGTAATTTCGGCTGGAGATAAAAAAAAATGTATGAAGAATCGGCCGATACCAAATCGGTGTAAATGTGCGCACTTTCATACTCGTCCAAACTGATTTACAGGCCGACCAAAAGTCTGTGGTCTGCGCTTAGGCTAAGTATGTCTATCAAAAGGTCACATTATTAATAACAATACTCGTCAACTTCATTCATCCAAAAATCCTTTCATTGACGAAATATGTATGGAAGCAACATCGTAATAATGGTCAAAACGTATGTCACCTTTTCATACAATCATTCCACCTCGATGATAAGGTATGGATGTTCTGTTTTTGTCTAGTCAATTTATCCCTTTATCTGATGTTGCGTTAACCCTACAAGGCTCAATTTTTTTTTAGTGCGCGACAAAAATATATTGGTTGTAATTAGTGATGAGAAGATAGGAAAAACTTATAAAAATAAAAATAAAATCATATTTTACTGAAAAATCAACTTTTTATTTTAGTTCCACATACGGTACCCTGAGCCTTAACTATAATTTTTGGTATTAATAATTAAAATTATTATTCTTAATAAAATGAAATAACTATTATCTATTTAACTTTTTTATATATTACAATTTATAATAAACATAATCATATGAATAATATCATAAATTTGTTATTTTTTATTGATGAAAAGATCTAAAACAATAATTAGTTATAATATTTATTTAGGAAAAGTTCTACGTGACATTTGAGATAAGAGCGTTTTACTTTGCAACCGGGATATTTGCATCGTTGTCTTTTTTCACCCCAAATAGGAAATGCTCAAACCAATCACGTCTGACATCACGAGGAGGTAGTATTGATGTACTTGGCTCCATGTCACCCAAAGGGCGATGGACCGTGCTATACTCGGAGTTTCCCTGCGTGATCGAATCAGAAATGAGGAGATCCGTAGGAGAACCAGAGTGACTGACATAGCCCGCAGAATCGCTAAATTCAAGTGGCAGTGCGCGGGGCACATAGCTCGTAGAGCTGATGGCCACTGGGGCAGGAAAGTTCTTGAGTGGCGACCATGAGCCGGTAGACGAAGCGTGGGTAGCCTCCCACTAGGTGGACCGACGATCTGGTGAAATAAATAAATAAATAAATAAATCTTTGGACAATTTCACACAGCGCCAGCTAGCCCCAAAGTAAGCAACTTAATGCTTGTGTTATGGGTGCTAGCTTAACGGATATACTACTTATATACTTTTTTTTTAAATACATAAATATTATACATATTGATGTGAAGGTCGCGGGAGGTACCTGGATACGAGCGGCACAGGACCGGTCTTCGTGGAAATTCTTGGGGGAGGTCTTTGTCCAGTAGTGTAGTCCAGAGTGTAAAAAGTTTTGGATGGACTGATTTTTTTCGATGTCATCATCACTTCCACATCACTCCCAGAATGAATATTTAAGAAACCCTCAATTTCTCAATTACGCAATCTTCTTAGCGACATTATCTGCAATAAAATCAAAATATTCATATGGTAAGTTTTCGTAAGTACGTAAGTAAAAACGGATACTAAAGCTCAACGTACCGTATGTGGAACTACAATAAAAATGTGATTTACTAATACGTTTACTATTGTAATAAAAAATACAACTTACCTCTGCAAAATATACACTTCTTTATAACACAGAGTATTTTTTTTGTAATCAAAACTGTTCAATAACTATTTTTTATTTATTTTTGAATTCAGTCAAACGACTAACTTGTCACTTTCATTCAAATTTCACACTTAGTGCACTACAACCAAAACACGAACGACATCTTTAGGTAAAACTTCGTATTACTACACTGCTAAATGTCATTAGCTTCTAATAAGATGCAAAAGATGTCGCTACTAATAGTTTTATAGCTATAGGAACGATTAAAGTCGGTGTTCCACAAATGGAACTGGGTGCCTTGTAGGGTTAAACCATGTCCCTATTTTGAACTTTATGCAAATGACAGAAAGTTCCATATCTCTAGATTACATTTTGCTATTCAATGCTAAGGTCAAAGGGTATTTTGTTTTTTGGAAAATATTGGTCCTAATTCACTAAAACGATACTTGTTTGCTTACAAGTTGCCAAAATTCCATAATACTTCTGATAGGTCGCTATCGTGGTCCACTACGTGTCAATATAAATGACGTCACTAACCTTGACCCTTGATGTTACTTATGTATGTACAGCACCTTAGACTATACATTTCTGTTGGTACAGGTGCTTTATTCCAAACAAATAAAGCGTCAAAGATTGCTGTCATTTGTAGATACTTCAATAATCACCAATCCACTGAATACTCAGTGCCCACTTATCGAACAGGTGTCTTATTGTTTTCCAAACTAATATTACATACATATAAACAAAAGTAGCTCAGTCTGTCTGTTTATTGAGTTCTAAGTACTGAACTAATTTTGATACGTTTTAGCATAAAGACGAGTCCCGAACATGTTTCAGAAAACTATTTTACCATTGGAGTTAACATAGAAACGTTTAAATCAGTTGAAGTCATAAAAAATTTAATTCTATCCATCATTTCTCATGATAATACAAAA